CGCGGCAGCCGTCTCTGCAAGAGCCGTATAACGCTCATCAAAATACTCCACCATGGCGGTCTTGATCGACCCAAACAGTTCCGGCAGCTCGGCCCGGAAAAACGCAGCAACCTCATCGTGCAGGATCTCACGTATCCTAGCATCCAAATCACCTGTGATCATCTGACCAATAACCTCGGGTGGTACTGACCCGCCCTGATCTCCCTCTCCTGCTCCCGATCCTGACCCGGATCCATTCCCAGCATACCTCGAAATCTCCATACTAAAAAAGCACCACAATATCTCAGACACTTCCCACTATCCCAGGAACCAACTCTCAACCCATCCCTAGAGGTCATTGTTTCACTGATACGCGTGTGGGTCCTGTGCTTTCAGTAGTACGGGCCCATACTACCTTCCACACCTACCCATATTTGTATGAAGTACTATCACAACACCCTAGTGACAAATAGCAAGTGCTCAATCCTCACTCCTAGAGGAACACTGGAAATCTCATACAGAGGAAAACCTTAGGCTAGCAGGCATCATAAAACAGGAAACATTATCATGAAATCCTGAAGATCCCTAGCCTAGTACTAGCATGCTGTTCTATCAAAGCTAGAAAACAAATATCATGTATGGTAATTTGGGGTTACTTACTGGCTCCGGCTGATCGTACCTCCGTGTCCTCTTTTTACTAACTTTGAAAACCATTTTAATTTCTCTTTTAAAAACTCTCCTTGATTTGAGACTGGATTCACACAAATGTTCCTCCAATTCACTCAAACCAAGGCTCTGATACCAACTTGTAACGACCAAAACTTTCAACAAATTTTAAACCTTTAAAAAACAACCCATTTTAATAATGTCATTACAAAAAGGTTTTCAATACATTTATTATCAGAGTATTCCCAGAACCATGTCATAAACATAAACACGAGGAGCGGTACGATCACGCCTTCGCCTTGCCACGGTCTCCTGAAGAACCTGAAAAACATTTAAACTACAACTGTAAGCCCAAAAGCTTAGTGAGATACCCCCAAAATACCAACCACATATACGCCCTTCCAGGCTACGACCTTCCGGTCCAAAACATATTGCCTTCCGGCCCATAACATATTGCCTTCCAGCCCATAACATAAAAAGCATACATAACATAACAGAACATAGAACAACCATGCATATCGGGTCTACTATGTGACTGGTCCGCCGTATCGGGCCTTCCGTCCACCGGGTCCACCCTCCAAGTCTAGTCATGTCCTTCGAGTCTACATTGTGGTTGGTCCACACGCACCGGGCCTTCAACCGACCTGGTCCACTCTCTGAGTCTACAGTATGACTGGTTTGCCCGGATCGGGCCGTCAGTCGGCCTGGTCCACTCTCCGAGCCTCGGCACGTCTGGTCTGCCCTTGTGTGGCCTACAGCCTATCCGGACCGCTCGCTGGGCCTTCGGAACAACCGGTTTGCCCTGGGTATCTTGGCCTACAGCACATAGCAGGACCCGCCTCAACCCAACTCCAGTCCAAACAACCATGTGCACATAACATACAATCGTATAACAGTTCATAGTCAACAAGCCGATCAAGCAGATCACATAACATATCATTACCTTAACCAGAATACCGACCTAACTGGTCACTAGCATAGCATCACCCTACATATCATGAAACCGACCTTAACCAGGTCTCTAACATATACCATCCTAGCTACCAGGATGCAGACATATCAAAGTAATAACATAACAACGAATATCCGAATCTCAATCCGATAAAGGGCCGGCCTTGGTGCCTTAGACCCTGTCGATATAGTGAGGATAACTCACCTCATGAATGCCGATACTCTGAACTGAAGAAGCAGACTCTCGAATCACCAACTCACTGCAAATCCCAAACTAACCATCATAACAAAATAAACATTAGGTCAATCAAACTTCCACTTACCAGTCCAAGACCAAAGTCCAAATCTCATACAAAGTCCAACATTGGCCCAATTTACCAAATTGGGCCCACTTCACCAAATGGGCCTAGAACCAATGTCCATAACAATAATTGGGCACAAAACACTCTATCCATAAATTCCCAGACTTGACCCAATAACCAACTGCCCACCAACGGCCCAAACTCAAAAGCCCAAAATGAAAGTCCAACAGGAGGAGTACGCTGGGCATACCCTCCTTGGTACGCTAGGCGTACTGCAACGTTCACAAAAGAAAACGAGGCACTGGCCCGCTACGTGGGGCGTACTCTAAGGCTACGCGGGACGTAAACCTGATGCTCAACAATTCCACATAATGACTTAATGGTTTAAGCTCTTAAGCCCAAACTTCAGATCCCTAGGCCAAATATGATTAGAATCCATAAAGTCTCAAAATTTATTACTTGGGAGGTCCATAAGCTCTTAATACAAGGTCTTAATCCATTAAGACCTATGTTTCTCACACATGGAACAACTACAACCCTTGGGACCTCATTTTTCTCACTCAAGACCTCTCCAAAGGTCTGAAAGGACAGATAATCTTTACTAATTCGATACATGCAACAAGGTGAGGACTTTTGGGACAAGAATGGTGTCAAAGCTTCAAAATACATAGATCTACACAAAATGAATGTCAAGCAAGAAGCTTTATACCTCAAACAAGCTCCAAAGGATGGTATCTCTTCAGATCTACAAGCTCCAATCGGTCCTCTTCTTCCTTGACAACTTCTCTTTTCTCCTTCAAGTCTTTCTTTTGCCAAAATAAGCTTTCCAAGGTTAAACACACCCAATAATGGAGGGAATACGAGTTCTAGGGTTTTCTGAGGTTAAGGATGAGCATAAGGAGGCTAAGGGGGTGAACCAACATGTTCCTTATATAGTGGCTGACCCTAAATTAGGGTTTGGAGTTTCTGAGAGTACGCTGGGCGTACTCATCCGGCCATTCAGCATACATCACACCATTACGTTGGGCGTACCCAGCCAGACTTCAAAACACATGCATGCCATGCATGCATGGGACCCTTTTTCCACTTATACCACAAAGAGCTATAAACAATGATCAACTTCAAAACACCGCAAATCCTCTAATCTAAACCCGCTCCCAAATAACTTTACATTCATACGAGGTTGACGAGAAGCCCAATGCTTCTAACTCATACACCAGCCCGAAACCTTCTCGGGTGAAACTCATTTCTCGCAAAAGGACCAGAATTACCCTTCCTCTTAAATCTCAGGACTCATAATTAAACACTTAAAGAACGGGGTGTTACAGGAGCTAATGGGACCATCGATGATTTTGAAGGGGCTTTTAGAGCAAGCGAAAAGTCCACAGGGTGCTCGTATGCGAAAGTTAGGGGTTTAGAAGTTGGCAGGGTGTTATGTGAAATCGGAGCTTGTATACGGAAGTTACGGAGTTTAGAAGTTGGCAGGGTGTTGTGCAAAATCAGGTGACATGGCTGAATATGGGCTAAGGCTTTCTCCCCAAGGAAAGCCACCATAAGGTGACACCTGGCCATGGACTCGATGAGTAGGTACCCCTACTCGACAAGTAGAGCAAGATTCCAACCTATAAATAGAGGTGACGGGTTCCCTTCATTCTTCTTACCATCCAACTTCACTTTCTCTCTCCAGTTTCTCTCTTTATGCCCCAAAACCCCCAAAAGTCTAGGCAAACTTCCTAGCACCCGTAGGAAGCCCTGAGGCTCCCGGAGTCCTAAGAAAAGAGCCTTTCGGCTCGGGAACGCTGCTCAAGCGAAGCCCGATTTTTGCAAAAAAACCCGCTGTAAGTGAGCTACACCTACCCTATCTTTAGTATATCTTATGTTTTAATATAATAATGTTATTAGGACCTTATAATAAGTGTTTGAGATATTATTATGAGTTGTATAAGTGTCGTTATAATATCTTTTAACCACTCACGGTACACGGAATCTAGTTTAAAGGATCGCATAGGGTTGTTGGATTTCAGAAATGTTATATGCCAAAATGGTCCTTGCCTCCGGTGTTTTAGGTCTGGCCCCTGTCTGTATATAGTGGTCGAGAAATATTGTTTTGTGCTTATATAATTGTAATAATAACAAGACTATTAATTAGTATCGGTGAATATTAGACTAAACTCTAGTGGTAATGATACTAGGTTTTGTCAAAGGAAAATTGTGTTAAGAGTAAGGAAGTGCTGTCCGGGTGCCGAGTCACCACATTCTTGGGTGAGTACATAGTTATTTTCATCTTACACATAGATATGAAGTATTTAATATAAACTACGATGCTATGTGTGCATATTGTCTGAATATTTGTTGTCTATGCTGATGAAAGATCTTTATACATGTTTTAAATGATTCCAACTGTATATGTATTTTATATCTACAAAAATGTTGGGGTAAAACACGGGTTGATGTAATAGATGATGTGTGATAAAATGATGAGAGGCCTCGATGTTGTTGTTGTTGAATCTGTCATCTAGCGGAGTATGGATGAAGACCACAGACTCTTCTAGACAGTCCAGTGGAACGCTAGCAAGCTCGCAACCTGTAGGTGTTTGTGAACGATGTGTTCACCGGTTTACTCCATCCCCTCTCATGGTTGCCTTAAGGACATTTATTGCTAAGGAATCGCCTTAGCATTAGTGTCCATCCCAATGTTGATCCTTAGTCTAGGTCCCTTATGATAGGTGTTTTAGGGATGTAATGTGAGGATAACGGGAACGGGGAATCGGGTTATTGTTGGTTGATGAAATTAGTAAACTTATTTATTGTGGGTTGAAAACCCGATATGCTCACCAGGCTCCCAAGCCTGGCCCACTCAGTTTCTTGTATTACGGGTATTGGTGCACGAGCATAGATATGATGTTTGGGATGAGAGATTACGGATATAGGCCTGTAGATATGAATAAATGTAGTAAGGCTTATATTGTACTTTTTATGCTTTTGATATGTATCGAACATGACATCCCAAGGTTTTTAATGAAGCAAGGAGAATAAAACTAGATGTAGATGCAAATTTAAAAGAGTTTGATCCATCACCTTACCTGATCATCTTCAATCTTTTCAATCAAAATTTAATTTGCCTAACAGAGAAAGATAAGAATCAGCCAAGAAAATAGATGTAATGGTAATAGACTTTAACAAATTTAATTTCACAGATGACAATGATTCAATTTTATTGCAAGAACGTACTCCTTTAAAACCCTCCACTACCTTAAGCAACTGAAGCCGAAGCTTTGGCCCACTTGCAGGGTACTTCATATGAACATTAGCAGTACACACTGCTAGAGCATCAATACCAGTGTCATCAATGAACTCTTGAGCCTATAATTCATATGGACCATGATTAAACCCTTGTTTTTTTCTTATTAAAAAATTTATAATAATTAAATAATAAGTGTTAACCTGATTTACATCGGTCAACTTTGCATCATAGTCTTCTACAGTCAAATCATCTTTAGTTCTAGATAATCTGCCTAATTCAGCATCCACTGTTATTCCTTTTGCATGTGCTAATTATGAAATGTAGTTTGTGTATGGGATATTTTTCTTGAGGGGTAGGTGTGAACCATCTACCATGACCGATTCAACTCCCTATGTATGAGTTTAGAAATTAAATAAATAAACATAAAGTTGTAAAGATTACAATATAGTGGATGAATTGAATAAAAAGATTTGTCCTTTTCCAGAAATAAAATTGAAGAGGTAAACTTACCAACTCGAGAACTTCCAGTTGCTTTTTTAGCAGCAGAGATGCAGCATGCCACCAAAGGGTTTCCGCCATGCTTTAGAGCACTTGGATGAATCTGTAGAAAAAAAACATGCACTAAGAGCTCCAGCTTAAGAAATGCCAAACAAAAACCATGGATTTTCAATTTTTGTTTTGTTGAGTTTTGAGTTTAATGATTCCTACTATTAGCCAATGATGACTCCACTGATGATTAAAAGAAACCCAAAACCATAACCAAAACTCATTCCAGCTACCCACATTGAAGGTGTAGATGGTAGTAATATGGTTGGGAAGATTGCTACAAAAGTGAAGATGAATACTGCTAACACTGGTTTGGTGAAAGTTTTGGTTTCCCAATTCAAAATAGGGATGACCTCCTGAAATATGTGAGAAACAGAGGGATTGAAGTTATAGAAGTTAGAATAATTTCATAAATCCAGTTGCATTGTTCTTGAATTATGCATATAAATCAAGGAAACAGTCGAGAATATCATTAAAATTGGGAATTAGGGTTCTTTCTAAAGAGGCGAGTTAGGGTTACTTTGAGGAAATTGGGGAAATTAGGGTTAATGAGCGATTTGTGCATCAACGGTAAGAAAAAAAAGAGGAATTTGCAGATAAAATAATGAAATTCGGATAAATGCAGATCGACATACCTTATTCATTAAAAAGAGGTCTGATCCATCGAAAGAAACAAACCCCCACAACATCCAAGAAGATTAACACAAGAATGAGCTTCGACCACCACCAACGAGAGCACCAAAATCCATCACCAACACTACTACAACTCCTCAACGACGAGGAAGAAGAAGGCAGTGAACAACAACCGACGCTTCCGCGGCCATTACCACTGCCCAACACCTCCGGTTCCTTCAAAATTACGTAATCATCCTTGGGATCTTCAATTGTGATCTTCAAAAGGGTGACTACATCTGCTTCCTTGTACGTCATAATAATAACAAATTCAGATCAAATCGTAATCAATTTGACAAAAACAACCCTAAAATCGGAAGTTCTGCATGTAGACGTTAAAACTGGTTGGATTGAATTGTGGATTATCTGATAGAGATGGAGGGATCAGAAACAAAACAATCAAATCCAAAAGAACAGTGTAAAAGATCAGGGAAACAAACGTCGATTCAAAAAAAGAGATAATTATTTCAGATTATTGGGAAAGTTAAAAGAGATCATTGAAGGTAGACATATGAGAAGTATCTTAGACATGTTGGATTTGAAAACGTAGTATCCGAGACATGTTGCCTTGACAGACGTCGATGACCGGGAATAGCAAGCAACGATGGTTGAAGTGCGAGGGAAGAAGCAGGTGGCAATCAATGCTAGGAGGGGAAAGGAAGAACGTCGATAATTAGGGAAAGAGGGAAAGAAGGAAAAGGAAGCAGGGTTTAATTTTTTTGGATTTCATTTTCCCCCCTGCAATTAAAGGATGGAATGCACGTTTCCATTAAAATTTATATAACGACACCCTCAGACGACACACGTTTTATTATAGGTGCCCTCTGTGTTTTTTTAGACACTAATTTAAGGGCACACAAAAATACGCATCCTAAATCCTTAAAAATTATACAGAGATGACACTATTTTTAGGTCACACACCTTTGCGTATTGTAAATCAATGCGTATCATAAATTACGCGTCGTAAAAGGCTGTTTTTCTAGTAGTGTTTATGTCTGACCCCTGTCTGTATATAGTGGTTGAGAAATATTGTTTTGTGCTTATATAATAATAATAATAGCAAGACTATTAATTAGTTTTGGTGAATATTAGACTAAACTTTAGTGGTAATGATACTAGGTTTTGTCAAAGGAAAATTATGTTAAGAGTAACGAAGTGCTGTCTGCATGCCGAGTCACCACCTTCTCGGGTGAGTGCATAGTTACTTTCATCTTACACATAGATATGAAGTATTTAATATAAACTACGTGCTATGTGTGCATATTTTCTGAATACTTGCTGTCTATGCTGATGAAAGATCTTTATACATGTTTTAAATGATTTAAACTGTATATGTATTTTATATCTACAAAAATGTTGGGGGTAAAACACGGGTTGATGTAATAGATGATGTGTGATAAAATTATGATAGGCCTCGATGTTTTTGTTGTTGTTGATTCTGTCATCTAGTGGAGTGTGGATGACAACCACGGACTCTTCTAGACAGTCCATTGGAACACTAGCAGACTCGCGACCTGTAGGTGTTTGTGAACGACGTGTTCACCGGTGTACTCCATCCCCCTCATGGTTTCCTTAAGGACATTTATTATTGAGGAATCCCCTTAGCATTAGTGTCCATCCAAATGTTGATCCTTAGTCTAGGTCCCTTATGATAGGTATTTTATGGATTTAATGTGAGGATAACGGGAACGGGAAATCGGGTTATTGTTGGTTGATGAAATTAATAAACTTATTTATTGTGGGTTGAAAACCCTATGTGCTCACTAGGCTCCCAAGCCTGGCCCACTCAATTTCTTGTATTACGGGTAGTGGCGCACGAGCATAGATATGATGTTTGGGATGAGAGATTATGGATATAGGCCTGTAGATATGAATAAATGTAGTAAGGCTTATATTGTACTGTTTATGCTTTTGATCTGTATCGAACATGACATCCCGAGGTTTTTAGTGAAATACATTTCTATGGAAATGCTTTGATAAATCTTTATCATGTTTTATTATGGGAACAAATTCTGTAATATTTTTATTTAAAATATTACTCTGATTTTTAAACAAATCATAAACAAAATCAATCTTTTCTGGCTGTGAAAAATGGGGATGTTACACTTGATACCCTAGAAAGATCATAGCCAAAATTGTGTGCCTTTCCCCTCTCTCTAAATCATCTTCTTGCTTCTGTGGTGTTTGTGATCCATTAGAGGAGTGACATTTGTGACTCTAAGCTCTAAGACCAAAAGAATCAAGCCATTATCAAGAGGTAATCATCTAGATCAGATTTCTTATGTCAATTTCAGAATATGTATGCTAGATCTAGGGATTGTAAATCTTGGATGAATTGCATGTACAATAGAAAAACCTAGATCCAAGCCTTAAGGATTTGCATTAACACATAGGATGTTATTTTGTGTAAAATCCATCAGTGGTATCAGAGCCTTGATTGGTTTTTATTGTATTGATGCCATGCATGTTCATCTACTTGAAAAATCGTTTTTCTGCCTTCTGCCCGACCTGACTCGGCTAGTCACTTCCTGGACTCTGCGAATCCAGATTGGTGACTCGGCGAGTCGAAGCGTCAGACAGAGGGTTTTCGGGATTTCTTACCGTTTTGCTGAAGGATAATTGCCTAAATCGTTTTTTACTAATAAAATCTGAATATTATTGTAGTTATGTGATTATCCTTACCAAAACAAAAGATAATTACCAATTGTTTGAATAATTAATTCCTTATTTGATAATATTTCATTATTTGATTTAATTGACGAATTATCTTATGAATAAAATGGAATATGTCAAATTTAGATAATCAATGATTTAAATTATTTGCTATTTGATCCTATGTGTTTTGAAAAGTTCAAAACTTGCTCTCAAGTTTTGAAATTTAAATTTTTTGCTTAAAAGTTTAATTTGAATTATTTAAATTTCAAACCCTAGAATTTTACAAGTTTAAAATTCAACCTTATACTTTATTTATTATATATATATATATATATATATATATATATATATATATGTGTGTGTGTGTGTGTGTATGTGTGTGTGTGTATGTATGTATGTATGTATGTATGTATGTATAACTTAAAATGGTAGTCTTACCGTTAGTAGGCCTCATTCACGAAACCGATTTATAAGGGGGGTATAAGGTTATGGCCTATAAAATGACCGTTTAATGGGTGTCCACTCTCACCCATCGCTTCCTTGATTGGTGGAGGGTTGTTAGTGGAACGGGTAGGATAGGGAAACCCTCTCCTTGTTAAAAGTATAATGAATTTATAAAAGTAACTATATGTTTTTCAAAAATTCCCAATCATAGTTACTTTAGATAAAAGTGAAATTGATGCAATTCCATGAAATTACACTTTATACCCTTGCTAAGACGTTAGTAGAGCGTGTGTGGTTAACCGACACACTAATTGGGTTCTAAGCAAAGGTGGCAAAGGGTGACTGATTGTTTGTCATAGTTCGATGGAGCGTGTGTCGTTAACCGGCACATCGAAAAGGTGACTGTAGCAATGAGGGCACCATGTACATTTGCATGGTTATTCACACCTTGTAACATCCCATATAAATAAAATAATTAAATAATAAATCCGGAAACCTGAAATGTAATTTTATTATTTTTTTATATTATTATCGTCCAAAAGTTAAATAATAATAAGCGGGGTGTTGGTTTCGGGAAGCCAAATGGCAAGATTTGAATCTCCAGGGGATAAAAGTGTATTTCTAGGACTTAATTTGTGAGAATTTTCAGGAGTCAGGGACTGGTTGGTAAGATTGAGACTTAAATGGAAAGGATATTGAAATGATGTGGACTAAATTGTAAAATTCGGATTTAATTTGAAAGGATGTCATGGGGAGGGGGCTGATATGTAAAATGTGTATAAAGTTTGTTTGGAGCGGGAGTTGAACCCGACTCCCTTCCCCATCGCCCCGTTAGCCCATGTATGTATATAGTCTTATTAACCGCATGCAACACCAAAGACCCTAAACCTAATTCTTCAGCCGCCATGCTCGGTTCCTGCCGCCACCACCCTCCATGGTCGCCGATGAAGCTGCTGCCCAGATGATGAAGATAGAGATGCCGACAAGGACCACCAGCAGGTCCGCTCCCCGGTTGTTGTTGCTGTCGTTCGAGTAAGCTTTGACAAAAGGGAGTTCCACCGCCAATAGCCGCTGCTGTTTCCTTACTGCCATCGTCGCAACCCATGGTGTTGGGTTTATTTTACGGACAAGATGCATGTGTCGCCGTTGAAGACAAGGCCGTCGACGGATGTTGTGGTTGCAAACGATCGGAGGAGGAAAGCATGAGGCTGTCGTTGCTGTTATTCCTGGTGAAGAACCGTTTGTCTCCCTTTACTGTCGCACTGCCGCTCACCACCGCTGCTAAGACTGTTTATGTATATGTTTCAGTCGTGTATCAGGCTTGGTGGTGCTTTGAGGGTTTCTGATTTCCATATGGATGCTTGAAGGATAGAAAGACCCGAAGATAAACCACCATGGCCGCCCGACCATGGTGGTTGCCACCTCTAGTTAGCTGTTATCGCTTTTGTTGCTGCCAGGTGGGTGGCTGGCGTATATTTTGATACCGGATGTGGGCGTGTGTGTTTTGTGAGGCTGAAAAGCTGGGGCTGCCACCCTCTACCACCACCGGCCGCCACGGTACGACAGTGTGTGTGTGTAATTACTATGTGTTTCAGTGGTTGTGTGTGTTAAGAGGATAATATTGTAATTTGTAACCAAAGTGAAATATTGAAAGAGAAAGTTTGAACCACCACCATGAGGTGGTGGCTGCCGCCTCTCGCCGCCACTGCCCGCGGGTGGCGGTGTGCCTTGTTTGCATTTTTGGACTCGTTTGGGGATGCTTGGTCAACGTGGGCCCAATGAAGCCCTAATAGGCCCAAAGAAACCCTAATTTACCTAATAAAACACTAATAGGCCCAATGAGATCCAATGTGACCTAAAAGCTTAACCAATGGACTAATGAACTAGTATTGGGTTAGAAAACCCTAAGGGCATAGAACCCTAACTTGTGGAAATTGATCGGGACACACACACGGGAATTATTTAATAAACTTGAAATATTAAACAGTAATCATTGGCGAAATTAACCTAAAAGCAATATTGGACTTAATGAATTAAGTCCTTGGTAGATTAAGTCCTTAATGGGTTAAGTAGGAACACTTAACTCTAATCATCATTTCATGTGAAAAACCCTAATTTTGGGATTTTGGGCTTGGACTTATCGGGACCCACATTTAGGC